TTGACCTAATCACAGGAAAATTTTTGTTAGACCTAGAATATACAGATGACATAGTCCTGTTAGTTGAAGACGCTGACAAGATGCAGAGTCTTCTGACGATTTGAGAATGTTTGAGATGCGTTTCTTAACACCGAAATGCAACTTGTCGCTCCAGGATTGGTGTTCAACGGTGCCCCACCGTGGCTAACAATAGAGAGTGTGTTGATTACTTTACTTACCTGGGAAGTAGGAAAAGCCCTGGTGGCTCAATGGCCGATGACATCTCTGCACGGATACAAAAGGCTCGGTTGGATTTTGCCAACTTACAACACCTGTGGCACCGCCATGATATTCGATTGTCTACTAAGGATCGCTGAGTTTTCTTCTCTTCATCTCGCGCCTCACTGCCACTTTACTTGATGTAGTGATATGAGCTGTGGCAGCTTGGACCGTTACGCAGTAATGCCTGGTCCTATGTTGGTATTGATGATGATGATGATGATTCACTGAATCGGTCGTTCTTTGTTTGTGGAGCTGCATCTCATTTTTTGGGAGATGACTTTCAACCAGTGGGTTGCGGGTTCCAACCTCGCTCCACCTACCTAGGTTTATCATTGAGGTAGTATTGTTAGTCCTCATACACTAGGTGTGGTTCATTGTTTACTGCATGAATGTGCACACGGTTGGTGAGTGCTTTTTGACTCGATTCTATTTTCTTCAAGTTTAATTAGCTACCTAGGTTGTTTTTTTTTCATAGTATAAGAAAATACTGCTCTTAAATGTCGAGTGTTAGAAGACTTCAACAAACATGCATGCTTGATGCATTTTCAATTCTCTCAGTGTTATAACAGCTGTATTCCATGTGAATGAAGTTAATAGGAAAAGTAAACCTTATACGGTTACAAACCGAAGGAGTTAACCGTAATTATTCATGAATTCAAGCAGAACAGCTCATACAGATACATATCCAATCTACATTGGACATACAACCAAACAAATGCAAATGTTTTATGATATGCAACTGTGGTTAGTTGGCATAGGTAGTCAACTTTCAATCAATAGGTGGCAAGTTTGGGCCTCCTCAACCTACCTGAACAGTCGATATCGTTATCCTTCTTGTACTAGATGTTGGTAATTACATAGTCTGCATGCCACCTGATAGTCACTGAGTTTAATTCAATCCGGTCGATTCTCTTGGTTAGGATTACTTCCACTTTCACCAGTATAATACTGTATATTATTTTTAAAATGCTTTTATAGTCATTTATTCTGCTTTGAAACGAGACACGTTTCTGTTACTGTTCATTCTAATATTCTATTCAGGATTATTAGTTTTAATTCCTTTTCACAACACGAAGAGTGAAGATCAAACGAGTTTGATTGATTCACTTCTTTCATATTGCCCCTTTCAATTTTAGATATGTGTCAACTGAATAAACCTTTCTCCAATGGTTTTTTTAAATCTGAATAATGTGATTTTGCTATGCTCTGTACCTATCCTTCTTTTCTTTGGATTGGTTAAACGACTGAGTAAAGTAAATTCACACAAATACGCATATAAAAACCACTACCTTCTCCAATCCTCAGTGTGCAGTGATGATAATGACGACTAGAATGTTGTCGACGACTTCGCTCCAAAGAAAAATGATCCGAATGATATTTACACCTCAGATTTCAGGATGAAAAAGTTGAATGACAGCAAACGGAGTTATATAGGATTCTTGATTGTTCATAGGATGTATGTAACCTAAGAAGGGTTGTGAAGTTGGAAGAACCAAAAACCGACGGAGTATTTTGCAAAGTGGAGCATCTGGTTTGAGTCCTGTCGTGATAATCAATGGTTGGTTTAGATATTGAAACCGAATACAATATAACTTTTACTTCAATTATTTTCGCTACAACAGTTATTACCTATCATATTATAATCCTTCTTCAATCGAATTTCACCGCTGGATTCATTTACAGTTTAAATTTCTACATCATGAATAAATTCCAAGAGAAAAGTTGCACTACTGACTGGACGGCGTCCTGTGGGCTCTGTGAATGCGAATCACTACTACTAGTCTCATTTATTTGTGAGGTACCTCAAGAAAAAGTAACCTCACATGGAGTTGCCATTGCGCTGTTCGAATGAATGGTACAATGAGAATTAAAACGAATGGTGAAACTTGCCGTTATCTCCTTGTGATGTCTACTTCTTCACTCATAGACTACAGTTCGGGTGAAGTGAAAAATGAGTTCTACCGAAAGTTGCCTAACCTCCTACGAAAAGCCAAATTTTCAGACATGTTTGTCTTAACATGAAATTTCAGTGCAGTGTACTGAGTGAATTAGATAGAAAGGCGCTTTCGAAATCACAGCCGAACGAACAGACAGCAGAAACAGCCTGCGACAAATGTGTTTAAACAACCACCAATTTATGTGTAGATTTGTTGTCTGGCGCGGTACCTATACACCTCAACTCAACGGTTGGTATACATACATCATATTGCCATGGGTTTGCCTAAATCGACGTCGGAAAATACATCAAGACCTTTCTGAGCCCAGTTCGACAATCTGAATACTAAGGCTGCTACCAATGAGAAAGCGACTAGACGGTTATCAGAACTTGACGATATCACGCATATTAGAAAAGCCCGTTGCCATCTCCAGTCTGCTGTAAAAACAGCGTCAAAGACCGTCTCTGACTCTCTCTCACTCTCAGCAGCTCCTTCTGAGTTAATGGATTCACTTGGATCCATTGCTGCAGGCTCCGAGCACAATGATGAAATGAAGCAAATGAAATGTAGGCTTACAGAATGACCGCATAATGACCATAAGCAGTGGTGGAAAGCTAAGGCTAACAAGATAGCAGGGATAGGTAACAGTGGATAGCTGTTGAGGCTGATCAAGGAAACTGGTGCAAAAATGTAAATGATTAGTGAGACTATGGCAGAGAAGAATTGGTCCTTAACTTGCTCGGCAGAGAGATGACTCAAACGACTAGCTGAACCTCAAGGAACAGTTCAACTGGCGTCGAGCCACGGCTCGGTTGTCCAACGTCCAGTCGGATCCTGAATGAAACGTTGAGATTGGACCTCCAACTCTTGCCGGAACTAGGAAAGGTAGTGTTTACTAGTAAGTGGGAATCAGAATATGATTTTTTCTGACTGGTCTCAATCATCGGTTGTCACAGTCTTCAAGAAAGGCGAGAAATCCTTTTTTGGTAACCCCAGGAAATCAGTCTGACAAACTTGGGTTCTATAGTCGTAGGTATATGGACGAGATTATGCACTTTTTGTGGGGCCTTGGAGCTCAGGCACGCTTGTCGGCGTCCAACACTAGCTATATTTCTTAACCTGAAGATGGCATTTGACTCTGTTGATTGAGAGTTTATACGACAGTGTCTCTTAATGAGAAGGCGGTATATTCTAATACTTAAGGGGGTGTCAGTGGCTGTGTTGATGCATCAAACATTGAGTGGTATCCATCAAGGATGTTCACTCTACCCACTCTTATCTAATTTTGTCATAGGTGCACTTATTGAGTTCTCTCTGGCACCATTTGACTCTGTAGAGATCGACGTTGTCCTTAGCAGATCCAGATGATGTGGATAACATTGTCCTGTTAGGTGAAGGTATGCAGTCTTCTGAGCATATTGAGTGGCAATTTCTGGGATGCATTTTTCACTGCTCAATTGAAAATTGTTACTCCATGACGGGTCTTCATTGGTGCCTTGTGTAACATAGTAAAATGGTTGAGTGCGTTGATCACTTCATTTACCTGGGAAGTCGGATCAACTCTGATGGGCTGATACACAAGGCTAAATCGCTTCTGTTAGCTTATGCCGCCTATTAAGGATTGAATATAATACTTAGCAGTTCTATTCTACCAAATGACTGCGAAACATGAGCATTAAAGGTGGAGGACATCAAATTCTTCAGATGTTCGACTATCGTTGCCTTTGTAGTATAAATTGTGTGTCGTGGCGCCACCACGTCAGTAATATGGGATTCAGGCGTAGTTTTAGGTGGAACAGGTAAGTCAGTAGATGGATTCGTAAATCTTAACATGCACCGTCACACAGTGCTAGCTGAAAAACAGTAAGAAGCGACCAGGTTAATATATATGGCATCAGTTCATGAAGTCTTTGATTGTTGATCCGAGGCATGTTGCGGAGTGTAGACGTTCCACTTATCAGTTCCCGTGACAACCGAAATCAGTGGTTGAAGACTCGGTGGTACGGCTCACAATCAGTTTCTACACATTTTATTGATCTTAATCGTCATACCGAACAACGTTATTGTTTCATCCCTTCTCTCTTTTTGTGACTTACTGCTACCCTTGAATACTTTCTACACTATTTCTCTTGTGGTTTGTAGTTCGATATTTCTTGTGTGAAATATAACAACTTTAACTGTTACTTAGTAATGTCGAGTGTCATTTGGATGTCTGTTGACTTGTTGTTTTAAAAGTATAAGGCACATTTGAAGTTTAAAACACTAGACTGATTAAGAATAATGCATCTGAAATAATAAAACTGTGACTTTTGAACTCAATAGCACGAAGTGATTTTCATCATGATTGAGATTAACAGTGTAAATCACTATGTATGGAGGAGTCATTCCACATAATACCTGGAGTCCACCAACTTTCTCCAATGACTTACCCGTCGATCAAATAACTCTTCACACCTCAGCATGCATGTTATTCCTTAGTATTGTTTATGATTGTAATTACGTTTATACTTAGTGGGACTTTACATTTCTTGCACTTCTAGTTGATTTCCAGTTCTCATTGGTGATTGATGTATAGAAGTAAAAAATTTTGTTTGATTTAAACCACCAGTGTGCTTTACATCATTATTGACAGGCCTACTATTACCTTATCTAGTGCATTGGGTTCACTTTTTCGAATTTCTGTTAATTTTCTGTTCCAAAGTGTACTTTTCGATTGTTCACTTTTTTTAATGTTGCGGAAATAGATTTTACGAAAACAGACATTTTATTTCATTGTTTCCCTTATGTAATTTAACATTACAGGTTCAATATGCGGTGACGAATCACCTACTAAACAGCATAAACCTCATAATCTTGAAGCCGCTGTAGATGTAAGTTTTTGTCATTGATTAGTACTTATACATGTATATATGTGGTTCACTTTTAGTTGATTTAATTGTTGTTAGTCAGTCGTGTAGAAAATTGATCTTATGACTAAATAACTTAGTGAATTGATGCATACATGGTTCACATTCCAATGGAAATATCATTAGTCCTTGAGATGTAGTTGCGCATCCAGCTGATGAGTTCCAAATAAGAGGAAGCGTGCATCATGGTTCTTACTGCTGCCTATCACCACCAACCAAGTAATATCAAGTTATGTGTTGCCATGGTTACAGGGTTTTCTTCCGGTGTAGGAAATGTGGTTAACTTGTACGTCATAAATGTTTAACAAGAGAATGGTTCGGAAATACTTATGGTTCAATTATAATATATCTATAACTAAGCTGATGTGAACCTTCCTTTGTCATAGTCTGCTTGGTGTCTACCAGTAGAATCCAGTATGTGGGTTCCGTCCTATTTGGGGCTCATCAGCTGGGTGTACTTGCACCCCAGTTAGTGATTTTGTTACTACTGTGATTCAAACAACCTTTCTAATATAATTTCTCACTGACAGCAATATTCATTCATTCTAAGAATATTTCTAATATTTTCTAAACGCTTCTCCATGCAAGTCTTAGCTTCTTCAACAGAAATTACTAAAATTTTAGAAGCAAAATATATAACCAAACTGTATAATAAATGAACTTCAGCAGGTTTTTCCCTTTCCAGACTAATCTTATAGATCATAGTTTTGGTGATTATATGTGTTTAAATGCATAAATGCGAGCGTGTATGTAATTTACTTAGTATATATGGTGGACCAAACACTAAGCGTAACAAGAATGTTCAATTCATACTAACCAAGATGTCGCAAGAGGAAAAATGTCAAATAGGATGAATAAACGTACATGATAATTTGGTTGGTTGTAGCTAGCAGAAGAATCCAATCAAATTATCATAATTAACATTCAGGCAATATCGAGGCATCCGCATAGGAGCCTAAATGCCAATAGAGGTCGAACAATTCGATCCAACAAAACAACGGAGAATAACAAGTATGTCAATAAATAGTAAAAACGTATAATACGTTACACTTATTAAATATCAGAGTTATTACAACTATTGATTACTTGAATGTATGTTTTAGTCCGAATTTCAATGAGGTTGTCCGTAGGATCTTTTGACGAACTGTGCCAACGGAGGTCCAGTCTTATGTTCGCTTCCCGTGCCATGCATGCTATTGACGATCTTTTTTTTCTAAATTACTGAGTTTATTTTCATTCTTCAGCTACTCTTCATATATAACCTGTGTTCATTCACTCTAGTTTTTAACGATTTTTAAATTTCTCCAGTATTACTGGTCTCACATTTTAAACATTGAATCCTATAAACCCAGTTTTTCTCTGTCATATTAGAAAGTGAATTTTTCATTTTAACTAAAACTGTTTCCAGAGAGTTTGAAGCTTTGACATTGCCTTTAATATCATAGCAGCCAAACACTTTTATGAATCTGTTAAGAAATATTTTCGCACTGGAGTGTAGCCAACCAGTGTATATAACCCACTCCTACAGGAGGTCAATCACGGCCCAAATAATTCAGTGGGTGACATCTCTGACTTCAGCACTGGGTGATACGGGTTCGAATCTCAGGTGAGACATCAGTTCCTTCGAGGTTGCAGATACGCCTTGCTGATGAATACGAAAAAGCACGAAATCTGAATTTGAAACTTTATTGTTTTTAAAGATTAAATCAGTGTAATTATAGTGTTAATACTAACTGTACCATAAGTGACTATAAGAATAACAAAAATAGTCTATATGGATTATACTACTAGGCAACTTGACCAGCATACTATCGAGAATCCGCTTTACTGATTGGCAAAATAATATACGAAATCAGTGTGATGCTGAAATTGATCTTATCTGACTGTTATTAGTCATACAGCTGACAAAAGCACACCAAAAACTTTCAGGACAAAACTTATACAGTTCTTTTATTGCCTATATTTTTTTCTATGTCAGCTGACAAATGTTGACTGATGTCAAGATCCTATCTTCATGGAGATCTCCTTTAAGCAAGAATAAGGTATGCGAGTGTTTAGCTTGCTAATCACTTCATTTAGATAGAAGGCTTCATCAAGCTCGATATACTGGTGACTGATGAAACCTTGCCGACCATGCCGAAAGGTCATCTGGCAACCGATACCATCTCTTGGACTTGGGAGGTATCCGGTGCTTATTCAAAGGATAATGTATTGTTTAACAGTTCAGACTGTCTTTACCGTACATCTGTAAGATATGATAGTTAAAAGTGGTTGGTGTGATGGAAGTGCAAAATGTTGATTAGTCCTACAATGAGAAAAAATGGAGTACTTGACAAAGGAAGTAAATGATATGGTGAAACTGTAAACCTTCACTGACTGGTACAATTGGGACTTGTTTCACGTATGCTTTGTCACCTTCTACACAGATTCGCTTTATTGACTGAATTCAGACTAGGTTTCAGCAAAGCTAAGAAAAGATTAACTGAGAAGTGTGATTCATTCATTGTTACTGACTGTTTGTATGAAGTGTAGGTAGCATTCCTTGGGTTCTCACGGTATTGGGTAACAATTTTTTAGGTAAAGTCGGTGACAATAGTGAAAATGTACGTATTTCTTATTGTCTTCAAAGTCCCTTAGTTCTTTTTCATCTCCATCGACTGGTTCTCTCTTCAACTCCTATCTCTTTTAGTTGATCTTGATTCGATTTCTATTTTGTGTCAGTTTAAACCACAATACCTTTTGTGAGATTGTACATTCGCTAGTTGGGATATTTGAACTCCTATTCACTAGAATGAGAGACTTCATGCCCAAGCATTACATATTCCACAGCTCATAAATAGCTGAAGCATGGGAATCCAGGAATTTCAACAATCCATCAAGTCACTGAACCTCGCCTGGTTAACTAGTTCACTAGTTACTAGCCGGTCCTAAGCCCGGGTAAACAGGGAAGGTTGGGCATAGGGCTAGCAACCCTACCCCGTAAAACAAATCTAACCGCTAAAGAAACTTCAAAGCACAAACAAAATATAAAAAATGAAAACAAACTTATTCCCCGCTGGAATCGGAGAGGCGAAATGACGCCAGTTGGTGAAAGCCTTCGGGAAGCCAATTGTCTGATGTGTCTTCTCATCTCTCGATGAAGGCGAAAGTAAACGTGGGGACATGGAATGTCCACACCATGTATGAACCTAGCTGGCAAGGCGTCACAGATTGCAAAGGAGATGAAGAGGTATCACATTGAAGTGCTTGGAATTTGCGAAAGCAGATGGAATGGAAGTGGACTCTCCAAACTTTCAACTGGAGAATCAATAATCTACTCCGATATTGTCACCCAGAAGACAACCACGAGCACACTGAGGGAGTGGCTATCATAATGTCCCCAAGCGCATCGAAGGCTCTCATGCAGTGGGAACCAATCTCCTCCTGCAGGATCATGACAGTAAGATTCAACTCAAAAGGAAGGAAAGTCACAATCATACAATGCTACGCTGTGCACCTACAAATAATGCAGAGCAAGAGAAGGAGGAGGAATTCTTCAGACAACTTCAATCAACACTGGATAAGACGTCATTTGGCGACATCAAAATTCTAATGGGCGGGGTGACATGAATGCCAAACTGGGAGGGGACAACACAGGAAGAGAACTAACCATGGGTCGAGAGGCGCTAGGTGAAATGAACGAGAATGAAGAATTGTTTGCAGAATTCTGCGCATTCAACGATTTGGTAATTGGAGGCAGTGTGTTCAGGCACAAAGATATCCACAAAGCGACATGGATTTCACCAGACACCAGGACACACTAAAAACCAAATCGACTTTATCTCAATCTCAAGAAAATGGAGACGCAGTCTACTTGACACGAGGTGAAGAAGGGGAGCAGATGTAGGTTCAGACCATTATCTAGTGCATGGGACCTTCAAAATCCAATTGAAAGCCTTGAAAGAAGTTGGTGACAGAGCACAGTTGAAGTCCAACACCCGGAAACTGAAGGACGAAACTACAAAGAAAATTTTCACATCAGCCAGCCATCAAGACAAAATGGGAGATATCGAGGAACATCCGTGAAGAAACCTGTGTAGAAGAACACTGGAAGTCTTTGAAAGCTATGTGGAAAGAAACCTGCACAACAGTATTAGGAAGGAAGAAGAAAGAAGACAAGGAATGGATCTCGACGGATACCTGGAAGCTGATAGAGGAGAGGAGGATGGTGAAGCAGAAGATAAACCAGTGCAAGGATGCTCAACGACAAGAGGAACTGAGCACAATGTATAAAACACTGGACAAAGAAGTGAAGAAGAGTGCACGCAAAGACAAAAGACACTTCTACGAAACACTGGCAAGTGAAGCAGAACAGGCTGCAGGTGAGAGAGACCTGACAACATTGTATCAAATAACCAGGTTGCTATCAGGGAAGAGACCAACACAGATGAAACCAATAAAAGATGAAGAAGGAAATTTAATTACGAAAGAAGAGAAACAGAGGAAACGATGGGCCGACCACTTCAAGAAGCTCTTGAATCGACCACCACCACCACCTGCACTTCGTCCAGAAATACCACCTGCGGACGCTGAATTACAAGTGAACATAAATCCCCAAACGAAAATGGAAGTCCTGAACGCCATAAAGCTACTGAAATGCGGGAAAGCAGCAGGACCAGATGGAATACCGCCAGAAGCACTGAGAACAGATGCAGAGACAACAGCGGACATGCTCACACCACTATTGCAGAAGGTGTGGAGGGAAGAGAAGGTACCTGACGATTGGAAGAAGGGTTACCTTGTCAAACTGCCGAAGAAGGGAGACCTCAGTGCTTGCAAGAACTGGCGCGGAATCACTCTCCTGTCCACCCAATGCAAGCAAAATATTAAGCCGCATCATCCTGGAGAGGCTTAAAGACGCACTGGATTCAAAACTACGACCGGAACAGGCAGGCTTCAGGAAGTACAAATCATGTGCTGACCAAATTGCAACGCTACTCTACGCATCATCATAGAACAGAGCGTAGAATGGCAATCAGCTCTATACCTCAACTTCATCGACTTTGAGAAGGCCTTTGACAGCGTCGACCGAGAAGTAATTTGGAAACTGCTTCAATACTACGGAGTACCGCAAACCTTTATCCGCCTCATTCAACAACTATATGAAGATGCCACATGCCAAGTAATCCACAATGGGAAGCTCAGTGATGCCTTTGAAGTGAAGACAGGAGTGAAACAAGGTTGCCTACTATCCCCCATGATATTCCATATTGTGGTGGACTGGATCATGCAGCAGACAACAGTAGGCAGCGAGAAGAGGGGGATACACTGGACGGCGGAAAAGAACCTAGAAGACTTGGATTTCGCCGATGACTTATGCCTGATGTCACATAAACTCGAAGATCTGCAGGCAAAAACTAACAAGTTGACAGAAGAGGCAGCTAAGACGGGACTTCAAGTGAATATAGAGAAGACAGAGGTGATGAAAATACCGCACCAACAACAACAACAAACTCCAATCACCATCAACGGTAGAAACTTAAAGGAAGTAACCTCCTTCACCTGTCTAGGCATGCAGCACTGTTTCAACTATAGGCGGCACTGACGAGGATGTCAAAGTCAGAATCGGAAGAGCAAGACAGGTGTTGATTAGCCTGAAACCAGTGTGGAGATCTTCTGCACTCAGCATGTGGAACAAGATACGGATTTTCAACATCAAGTCAAGTCAGTGCTTCTGTATGGTTCAGAGACTTGGCGCGTCACGAAAGGCATTTCCAATAAACTACAGACATTCATCAATAACTGCTTACGCTCGCTACTGAAGATCAGATGGCCAGAAAGAATGAGCAACAAGGAACTCTGCCTGCCTGTCGACGAACCAACCAAGAACCTATCACGCAACAAATATGCAGGAGGAAGTGGAGATGGATTGGCCATGCACTGAGAAGGCCAACTGAGGACATCATGCGTCAGGCCAGGATGTCGAGCGGAATCCCCATGGGAAGCGACGAGTTGGACGTCCGAGGGTGACATGGAGGAGGTCGTGCGAGGAGGAAATGAGAGCTTGTGGGCTGTCGTGGGACCAGGTTGAAAAGATCTCAGAGAACACGGTGGAATGGAGACGTGCTACTGAAGCCCTATGTTCCACTAGGAACCCATGGGACTAATAATAATAATAATAAATATAATGAAGTCACTGATCGTTAATCTATTCCGTGCACCCAAACGTGAGTTTTCTGTCTGCATTCTCATGTACATTAGAATTGAACAATTCAATTTGGGGGCTTGTGCGGATTTATTGATTGGTGACTGGCTTCAAGAGGTGAGAAGTTATATCCGGTTAGGTAAACCTGATGGACATGAGGACCAATACTCAACGATGACATTGAGTGGTGGTCGCGCTGTCCTGAACTGACAGGAATTAGAAATATGGACCGCTGGATTCTGACCCAGTGGCTCAATGAATGGTAACGTGCTGGTCACAGAACCTGAAGTTTCTGAGTTCGATCCCCGGCGGACGAGGTCATGGATGCGCACTGCTGAGCAGTCCCATACTAGGATGAAACAGCTGTGTTGCTTCTAGGTTTCCAATGTTACTGTAACTGATATCAGTCCATGATGAAAACCGACTTGAATTCAATAATTGCCGATTGTAGATGATATGTCTAGAAATTATATGCACTAATGTAATTACATCCAATTATGAATCTTCCTTCGATACGCGAACTTTTTACATTTGTTTATTTTTCTGTCCCTTTTTGGTTTTTACATGTTTTTTAGTACATCTGAATATCTTTTCCACTCGTCAATTAATGCTTCCGTGTACTGTTTAAAAGTATGACAGTTTGAATCTCTCTATTTTTTCCGCACCATCTTTTTAACTCACCATATTTGCCACTGCTTCGAAACTACTAGGGAAAAACAATTAACTGTTCATGATTACAAATAATTCACTTTTTAATATTTCAGTCTGTTCATTTTTCTGTTCTCCATGTCTGTGATAACTCGGTTTACTTTTTATTTCTTTTCTATTATGCAGGTTGCTGCCTTATTGCATAGAACTAGTTCTCTGCAAATAGAAATGTGGAATTTATATGAGCAAAAAGTTTGGGGTGATAATTCTCCCTCCGTCAGTATTAAACATCCTATACTGTGTGAAACTTTACCTGGTTATCCAGCTAAAGTATATCGTCTAGAGGTTAGACTGAGACTATTTTACAATTCACTGTTTATCATTTCTGTATCATCTCAGACTTCATTGAATGTTTTGGTGTGTTTTTCTACGAAATACATGGTTGTACAAATGTAAATAATTGGATGATGAATTTGAGAAAATAGTTTTAACAATCCTGCAGTTATCAGTTCGACTATCTGAAGTAGCAGTGGATTCAAACCAGCGACCCGAATTTTAATCTCATCCTTAATCGTGACCCAATTATTATATTTTATTATTTATTAGTCCCTTGGGTTCCTAGTGGAACATAGGGCTTCAGTAGCACGCCTCCAGTGACCTCTGTTCTCTGAGATCTTTTGAACCTGGTTCCACGACAGCCCACAACCTCTCATTTCCTCCTCGCATGACCTCCTCCATGTCACCCTCGGACGTCCAACTCGTCGCTTCCCATGGGGATTCCACTCGAGGGCCTGACGTGTGATGTCCTCAGTCGGCCTTCTCAGTGCATGGCCAATCCATCTCCACTTCTTCCTGCATATTTGTTGCGTGATAGGTTCTTGGTTGGTTCGTTCCCAGAGTTCCTTGTTGCTTATTCTTTCTGGCCATCTGATTTTCAGCAGCGAGCGTAAGCAGTTGTTGATGAATGTCTGTAGTTTATTGGAAATGCCTTTCGTGACGCGCCAAGTCTCTGAGCCATACAAGAGCACTGACTTGACGTTGGTGTTGAAAATCCGTATCTTGTTCCACATGCTGAGTGCAGAAGATCTCCACACTGGTTTCAGGCTAATGAACGCTTGTCTTGCTTTTCCGATTCTGACTTTGACGTCCTCGTCCGTCCCACCTGTAGTTGAAACAGTGCTGCCTAGATAAGTGAAGGAGGTTACTTCCTTCAAGTTTCTCCCGTTGACGGTGATTGGAGTTTGTTGTAGTTGTTGATGGTGGTGGTGCGGTATCTTCATCACTTCTGTCTTCTCTATATTCACCTGAAGTCCCGTCTTAGCTGCCTCTTCTGTCAACTTGTTAGTTTTTGCCTGCAGATCTTCGAGTTTATGTGACATCAGGCATAAGTCATCGGCGAAATCCAAGTCTTCTAGGTTCTTTTCCGCCGTCCAGTGTATCCCCCTCTTCTCGCTGCCTACTGTTGTTGCTGCATGATCCAGTCCACCACAATATGGAATATCATGGGGGATAGTAGGCAACCTTGTTTCACTCCTGTCTTCACTTCAAAGGCATCACTGAGCTTCCCATTGTGGATTACTTGGCATGTGGCATCTTCATATAGTTGTTGAATGAGGCGGATAAAGGTTTGCGGTACTCCGTAGTATTGAAGCAGTTTCCAAATTACTTCTCGGTCGACGCTGTCAAAGGCCTTCTCAAAGTCGATGAAGTTGAGGTATAGAGCTGATTGCCATTCTACGCTCTGTTCTATGATGATGCGTAGAGTAGCGTTGCAATTTGGTCAGCACATGATTTGTACTTCCTGAAGCCTGCCTGTTCCGGTCGTAGTTTTGAATCCAGTGCGTCTTTAAGCCTCTCCAGGATGATGCGGCTTAATATTTTGCTTGCATTGGGTGGACAGGAGAGTGATTCCGCGCCAGTTCTTGCAAGCACTGAGGTCTCCCTTCTTCGGCAGTTTGACAAGGTAACCCTTCTTCCAATCGTCAGGTACCTTCTCTTCCCTCCACACCTTCTGCAATAGTGGTGTGAGCATGTCCGCTGTTGTCTCTGCATCTGTTCTCAGTGCTTCTGGCGGTATTCCATCTGGTCCTGCTGCTTTCCCGCATTTCAGTAGCTTTATGGCGTTCAGGACTTCCATTTTCGTTTGGGGATTTATGTTCACTTGTAATTCAGCGTCCGCAGGTGGTATTTCTGGACGAAGTGCAGGTGGTGGTGGTGGTCGATTCAAGAGCTTCTTGAAGTGGTCGGCCCATCGTTTCCTCTGTTTCTCTTCTTTCGTAATTAAATTTCCTTCTTCATCTTTTATTGGTTTCATCTGTGTTGGTCTCTTCCCTGATAGCAACCTGGTTATTTGATACAATGTTGTCAGGTCTCTCTCACCTGCAGCCTGTTCTGCTTCACTTGCCAGTGTTTCGTAGAAGTGTCTTTTGTCTTTGCGTGCACTCTTCTTCACTTCTTTGTCCAGTGTTTTATACATTGTGCTCAGTTCCTCTTGTCGTTGAGCATCCTTGCACTGGTTTATCTTCTGCTTCACCATCCTCCTCTCCTCTATCAGCTTCCAGGTATCCGTCGAGATCCATTCCTTGTCTTCTTTCTTCTTCCTTCCTAATACTGTTGTGCAGGTTTCTTTCCACATAGCTTTCAAAGACTTCCAGTGTTCTTCTACACAGGTTTCTTCACGGATGTTCCTCGATATCTCCCATTTTGTCTTGATGGCTGGCTGATGTGAAAATTTTCTTTGTAGTTTCGTCCTTCAGTTTCCGGGTGTTGGACTTCAACTGTGCTCTGTCACCAACTTCTTTCAAGGCTTTCAATTGGATTTTGAAGGTCCCATGCACTAGATAATGGTCTGAACCTACATCTGCTCCCCTTCTTCACCTCGTGTCAAGTAGACTGCGTCTCCATTTTCTTGAGATTGAGATAAAGTCGATTTGGTTTTTAGTGTGTCCTGGTGTCTGGTGAAATCCATGTCGCTTTGTGGATATCTTTGTGCCTGAACACACTGCCTCCAATTACCAAATCGTTGAATGCGCAGAATTCTGCAAACAATTCTTCATTCTCGTTCATTTCACCTAGCGCCTCTCGACCCATGGTTAGTTCTCTTCCTGTGTTGTCCCCTCCCAGTTTGGCATTCATGTCACCCCGCCCATTAGAATTTTGATATCGCCAACTGACGTCTTGTCCAGTGTTGATTGAAGTTGTCTGTAGAATTCCTCCTTTTTCTCTTGCTCTGCATTATTTGTAGGTGCATAATATTGTATGATTGTGACCTTTCTTCCTTTTGAGTTGAATCTTGCTGTCATGATCCTGGAGGAGATTGGTTCCCACTGCATGAGAGCCTTCGATGCTCTTGAGGACATCATGATAGCCACTCCCTCAGTGTGCTCGTGGTTGGCGTCTGGGTGACCGGAGTAGATTATTGATTCTCCAGTTGACAGTTTGGAGAGTCCACTCCCATTCCATCTGCTTTCGCAAATCCCAAGCACTTCGATGTTATACCTTCTCATCTCCTTTGCAATCTGGGCTGCCTTACTGGGTTCAAACATCGTGCGGACATTCCATGTCCCCACGTTTACTTTCGCTTTCATCGAGAGATGAGAAGACACATCGGCCAATTGGCTTCCCGAAGGCTTTCACCAACTGGCGTCATTTCGCCTCTCCGATTCCAGCGGGGAATAAGTTTGTTTTCATTTTTTATATTTTGTTTGTGCTTTGAAGTTTCTTTAGCGGTTAGATTTGTTTTACGGGGTAGGGTTGCTAGCCCTATGCCCAACCTTCCCTGTTTACCCGGGCTTAGGACCGGCTAGTAAACTAGTTAACCAGGCGAGGTTATCGTGACCCAATATCGACTCTATAATTGTTTATTAGTGACGTATGATTAGAGTTAAACTATAAAATGACCGTTACTTTATTCTTTGGATGTGTTAATTCGTTCTCTTGACGTTAACTCATTAAGTTATGGACTCTGGAGTGTGATTTTGGGTGGATTTTTCACCTCATGCAAGTGTTTCTGCTTCGAATTCATCATTAAGGTTGTTCTTCGTTTGAGTGAGTTCTCATCTAACTCACTAATTAGTTCAAAGGATGGTGAATTCATCCAGGTTGAACCTAATGAGTGGTTACACTATTAACTGATTACTAAACGTGTTATAACCTGTTAAATGTTCAACTTTATCCATTCTACTTGGCGACAATGTGGTATTTTTTGATGTCTGAGCAGTTTTTGATATGTGATCATCATCGGTATGTTCTGAACTATTTTTTTAGCTCATTTATATACCTTGAAATATTGGCTGCAAATAAAACAGATAAGCAGTATGTAGCTTGCTACATAAGGTCATCGTTACTCATTGGAACAGTTCTAACTTGTCATGGAACAGAAATTCAACTGAAAAGAAGCGATTAGCAAGGAATGGTCAAGATTTGCAGTTCAGGTTGTGGATATTCTCCTAACTTTGTTGTACCCATTCTCCATCATCCTAGGTCTTGAACAGTTTTGCAATAAAGTAACGTTTTAAAGTTGAGGTCTCCATTGGAAATAACTGTAAGCCATGACAGTTGTTACACCTATCAATGGATAAATATAAGGGGTGGCTCTCTCATGTCTCTGACGCTTGAAGCGATGGGTACCGAGTTTGAGCCGCAGTGGGAACATCACTACTAACGGTCAGCAGGTACATTCAGCCGACGAGTCCCAAATGGGATAGAACGAGCGACCTGGATTCCACTGCTAACAGCCACTCAGTAAATTGTTTGGTTTGCTTAAACAAAGATCTGCTTGGGATTTCGATTTACAATGGGTTATCATAATTTGGTAGCCTTTTTATCTTTCATTCACTCACACTCTCTCAGCTTGTTTCTATTGGAATGGTGCTTTCGATGCCAGTCTAGATGTCGTCTTTGGCTCTGCTTAACAGTGAAGTGAATTGAGCATATTTTTCATTGAGTACTTATAGAAAATTTCTTCTGATCTCAATTGCACAATTATTTTTATGGGTCTATTTCCACAATATTGACTGATTTGAACTTAGGTCAGTATGTTGATTTATGACTGCCTCTTCTTGATCCATGCTTTTAACATGTGGTTTTGTTAATTTTTCACTTGAAAACTTTTGTTTCTCGATATAAATTTAAGACAAGTAACGAATGGGAAAAAACAGGAATTAATGAATTCTTCAATTTCGGTAGTACTTGTCAGCTGGATACGCTGCACCCTTGAGCAATGTAAGAGAACATACATACACACAAATATAACAAGAACCGAGACATCGATTTCGGTGTAACAATATAGAAATGAACAGATTTTAAAGGTCAAGTGGTAATGCAGAAGGTAAGAGTGGATGTTCAAATTCAATGGGTTGGGGGTAGGTTGCATAATTAACCATGAGTTTGGATAGTAGTGCAGTATAAAGAGTCATGTGGACTTCAGGTAGGAAGACAAGAATAATAACAATATTGACATGGGTAAGAATTGAATCGGTTGAGGGTAGAATACGTCATTCAGAACAAGATACTCCATAGTCAACTAACCAGGTATAGTAAGAAAGCCAGGTGTGTATTGGGATGAATAGTAATGATAAGGAATAAGGTTAATTTAGCGAAAAATATTAGGAAAGGAACACAAAAATATAAGATAGAGGTGATAATTGAGGGCAAAGAGCAAGTAAAGAAGAGTGAATATGGTTAGACGACGTTGTATTTCCTACCATGGCAGATTCAAGCTGACTACCATTTCCTTCTGAATGCAGAGGTTTGGTTTGACAAATCGAATGACACAGCCCTCTGCAAATGCATGCGATTTCTTATTTTACTGTCTATTGACAATCGTAAAAGACTTCCAGGTACCAATATCATATCAGCATCACATTCGTTGCTTGTTTTAAACTTTTTATTTACTTGCCAATCAAGTGGAACAGTTCCTCTTTGTATATTCGAAATGGTTTTATTAGGTTGACTTTTTTTTACCTCTGTCTACAGGCTTGGTTTTTTTTAATTCGGGTTTGCTTTATTTGGCGTGATCCTATTGAGTTAGGTTTTATGACTTGTACTTGAATTAGCCTGACTTTTGTACTGTTACTATGAGATGTCGATATGCACTTATGAAAAACGAGGCCAACTCATTTCCTCGTGAACTGACACTTAAGATAACTCCTAAACTGACGTCGAAAGCTTTGTCTGAACACAATCTACTTAGGAGAACAACAAATTTATTAGAAATCAGGCTAAACATGACTAGTGTCAGTGTGTGGCCGATGTGTAGGACAGTCGATATGTCGTGATGCTGAACACAACACGTGTACAATAACTTTCACTTCCATTAACCTGGTTGCGAAATTTCATGATGATAGAAAAAGCGAACGGTTTATTAAAGGATCGTCGATATACAAACCAGCTTAGTGCTCATGTATTAACTGGTGGTCGTAATGCATTCTTGTTTTTCTAGGAGATCTAGAACGGTTCATTTCGCCTATGTTTACAATCAGATGTAGAAATATGTAGTCGTTTGATTTTCTGAAACGTTCTGTCAGGGTTTTATTGGTCCTGAATGTATTCATCGGTTTCTGACTTCTTTGAGGGTCTTGAGGGGAAGATATTGCGAATTCTGACAGTAATATAACGTACGTAAAGCGTAATATAATGTACAGTATTACAACAAATAGGCATTGGGTCGAGTTCTTATTCGTCGTAGACTGACATCAGTTGGATGAACGAAGGCAACCTGGGAGCACTGGGCAGCTGTCTCGTCCTAGTATGGGACTCCTCAGTAGTGCGCACCCGCCACCCCATCCGCCAGGGATCGAACTCAGGCCCTTCAGGTTCCGTGGCCAGCACGTTATCACTGAGCCACTGGGTCAGAATCCAATGGTCCATATTTCCAACTTCTGTTAGCTCACAATATATGGCGACCGCCATCGTGAGCTAACGGAAGTTGGAAATATGGACCATTGGATTCTGACCCAGTGGCTCAGTGGTAACGTGCTGGCCACGGAACCTGAAGGGCCTGAGTTCGATCCCTGGCGGATGGGGTGGTGGGTGCGCACTACTAGGAAGTTCCTTTGTTCCTGCAACTTATGTCAGTCTTCGATGAATAACAACTACAAATCTTTCCAACTCCCCACAACTCCCTCAAAAAAACTTCTGGATAACTCTGAATGATTTAGAACGTTGTTAACTAGGGTCGTTCCAATGAATTTATCGATAACATTTCAAAAATTTTAGCGAAGAAATTTAGTATCTCTTTGAGCGATAATGAAATTTAGTGACATGAGTCTATGGCCTGAGTTGTTTTTGAGAAAATTACTTATTTGAACATGTAATTTGAAAAGTACGGTAAATTAAATTTACAATACAGCTAGAACAAGGAAATGGATGGACATTCATACGTAAAATTCTCGCTAAAGTATGAAACAAATTCGATGTTCCCATTCTTATATATGCTCAGGAAGGTTGGATAGTTCTGCCCAGAGATCAATGTAAAGAAAACCAACATGAACTTTTCAATAAAAATTGCAGTTTTCACTTCAAAATATATGCTTACAAAACACAGAAAATACATATTTTTACACAGAACACTATAACACCTGTGGATAGTTTTTAGCCTCACCCAGTTTCGTTAAATTTAAATATTTAGACAAAAAAAATATATCAGAGACTATTTACTTAAGTGTGTTTTAGCTTATTGTATGTGGTTTCATTTATGAAAAGAGACGGAGTTAATTCTCCATTTGTTGACTGTTAATATCATTAACTTGCTTTTCAAGGAATTTACTGGATTGGATTTGGTTTTTATGTGTAGGGTTTATTGTCAGTTTCACCGCTTATCATTTTCGATGATATGGTCTTGAATGTTGATGAAATACCTTATTGGAATACTAATTTATCCTCTGTCGAGGTAAGTTATTATTTCATAATTGTTTCTTTTACTATCTATCTGGAGTTGTGGCTTATTGGTTTAGGGAGATGACTTTCAACCAATGGTTTACGGGTTCGAGTTCCACTCCACCTACCTAGGTATGTGCAGCTAGATAATCCTCAAAATACGTGTGACTCATTGCTTACTAGATGAATGTGCACAAGGTTGCTGAGTGAACTTAGATTAGACTTTTCTATCTTTAAGTATTTGATCATTGGGGAATCGGATTCTATTCTACCAATGATGTATTGAATTTCATCGTATACACTTGAATCCTGCATGATAAAAAACGCGTTTAATATGCCATTTTCGTTCATCATGTGAAGTGAATGTTCAGAAAGACTGAAGAAACTTATTATTATTTCATGTATGAATTGATTGATCACTAGAGAGTAGTCAATTTCATTTTATCTGGTTGTAAGTACTGATCGATTCCTGTCTATCATTCTTCGATATAGTCACCAAACTAAGAGGCTCACTATCGTTGTGAATGTTCGACAGATGTTATATAGTTGGAGGCAATCATCAGAGCTTCACATCGACTACTTCCAACCACCTATCACCAATATTTTATTATTTAATAAACCTGACTGATATTGTATTTTTCTATCTAAATGTGATTGCAAAATATGACCTAACGGATAACACTCTGGCGTTTGAATCGATGTGTACTGGATTAGAGTCTTAGTGGGAATATCACTCACTAGGGTGCAGATACATCCAACTGATGAGTCTTAAATTGGACGAAATGCGCATCCTGGATTCCACTGCTAGTCACCAAGATGAATACAACATCATGAATATCCGGCACTATGGAGGCATCCACATAGTAGCTCATCTGCCAACAGAGGTCGAGCAATTCACCCCTATATAACAACGTGGAATTATAAGTGTCAATAAACATAATGTGAAATGTTTTTACCTCACCAACTAAAAATTGCTCAGCAACACTAATTGGTGTTTGTTTCCTAACTCTTGTAGTGCATTCAAAGAATAACTTCAGAAAATATTGATGTTATACATAATATAGCCAAGGAGGCTTTAGGCGGCTTGATATCTGCAAGGTAAGTCGATTGCGTTTGTACTCCCTTTTAAATATTTAATGGACTCAATCGGATTTAAACACAAGTATTTAATGAGAATAGTTTTCCATGTGATTTTAAAGACATAGTTAACTACTATGAATTTTACGAAAAAGCATTTTCAACGAAGACAGTCAGTCAATCGAGCTATTTTCTAAGGATATATAGCTTGTCTCGGTAATTGAGATAATTTCTCAGTTTCCTTATAATTGTGGTTTTATCTTATGATCACTATGCACAGGAACTAACCAACTGGTCAAGAAACTCAAGTGGAATAAGTATGGAAGTCAGGCCTTGACGAAACAGGACTTAGCATAGATATTTGCTCTTCAAAGTCCCTATGACAAGCAATGCTACCTAGCAGTTTACGAGCGATGCGAAGTTAACACGCAAATGAATCGACCCTAAACGTTAATCAGAACGTTAACCACTACAACACCAGTACAACTGACACGCGAAGACAGGAAGAGAAGGCGGACTACTGACGGAGAGTTTTTAACTGTCTCAGCAACAGTCAAAACAGTTGAGAGCGATGCCGAATATATACATATTTCTAAACGACCTTGACAACACTAAATCCACTGATCGGTTAAAAGAGTTAACAACCAATGAGAGTTCAACCTTCAGAAGCAGTGGGTAAAACTAAACCTAGCAATGGTGCGAAAACAGCAATAATAAAGTTGTTTCATGGTTATAGACAGATATCAGACAAAATTAGGGGTATATAGCAAAAGCTACCTTCCTGTGTACTCCAGCTCATGAAAGCTGGAATTTAGTGAGTTGAAAGATAAAGGGACAACCGTAATACGATCTTCAGTAAGGGGAAGAGAACGAAGATTTCCACATTACTTTTTCATGATAAGATGTGGCAATACGTGAGGCACTTTGAGTAATTCATGCCACGTCACTCACAGTCACCAACTGTCGGTTTCTCTTGTTTCATGGACCACACTCTGGAAGCCTACTTTTTTGTGCCTATATCAGAGATTTCATGGATTAGTTTCATTTCATGGTTTGGTATCCCACATCGGGGTAGACTGGATTCGCACAACATATGTTCTCGCCACTGTAGATAATGAAGGTGTACAGATTCATCGACTGATAAACCTATCTCATTTATTACTTTGTACCTAACCTCAATAGTGCTGTCATAGAGATTCCTTCACATGTGAACAGCGGTCCTTACCAGTTACTTCATACTAAGTGATTGTGTCTTTCAGCCGTGTAGCAGATTAGTGCTGGCTGCTTAGTACTACACTCGACTCTTAGTGGACAGTTGAATATCTCGCGTGTGCTATAAGTAGACTGATTTGGCGAGAGTCAGTAGAGTCTTTTATCTTGACATACATGGGACTGGAATATGAAACTGTACCTACTCATGAGGCACATCATTTCATGCATTTTTGATGCCTCTAGGTGCCAATCAAGTAATATGACATGGCATTCCAACAAAACAGATGTGTGGATATAGACCCTATATACAATCTACTTACAAAGAAAACGGCCATCCATCAACCAATGGTAAATTGACCAAACAAATCACTTATAATGCACAGTGTGACAGTAACAAATGGCACAATTTCACTCTAAGATTCTCTACCAACATGACTGAACGGAATTTAAGTCAAAGAGCTCAGACTGTGTTCAAAATCTTTTCCCCAACTCACAATTTGGCAGCGCCGAAGGTCGATAAAAACACTACCTGAACATTCGTGTAACTTTCCAATATGCTTCACTTCTTCATGAAGTTATTGCTGAAAATGTCACCAAACTTGATGATGAAACCTTCACAACAAAATACTAAAGCTGAGAGATTACTAAACCACCATCAGTAGAATGAAAGTGTTTCCATTGAGACCTGAAACCAGCACCCATAGCTTCATACACCACAGAGTTATCCACTAGGCTACTGACTATAACAGGTATTACATTTTTCAGGATACCATCAGCAAACAATTTAGTGCTTTGATAAATATATCCTCAAGTTATCTTCATTCTTGGTTCAGGTTTACCTCCATTTAGATCAGACATGAGGAATGAATAGTACCTAGAAGTGAATGTATGGTACCACTGATAAGCAATATTTTAGTGTAAAACTGTATGTTGTTTACTGAATTTGACTCTTTGTGAATAATTTTATCCCTTGGCACGCATCGATTCGTCGTGGGAATATGTTAAGTAGTATCCTTAGCTAATTCAAATAATGGTGAGATGGGTTCAAACCTACATCATTCATACTTTTTATATTTTATTTGTTGGTCAGTATAGCTGCTAGTCATCAAATGTTACGTGCTGCTGTTATTCTGTTTAGTGACTTGTACGATTGCTAGCAACAGGATAGACCTGAGTGAAAGTATTAGGAGAAATAGTATCAAGAGAGGCTGGGGCTGACTTATTGATAAATGTCATCAGTCCTTACTAATTAGTTGTAATTAATATTAGCGGGTATATCATTCTGTAATTAATATTCTCGTGCATTAAACTGGGAGCCATGCTTAGAAAATTATTCTTGGTATGTGAAAGACTTCGATGATTCTACAGGTGGGTAAAGGTATCTAACAGTTTGATGGTGTTAATTCAAACCACTTCTTCAGATACATTTAATACTTCTTCGTTTCAATCAGTTTGTGTTTTATTGTACTCTATAATGCGTATTTATTGTAATATATCTTTCTCCCAACTACTCATTCATGTTAAAAGGGATTTTGTACTGTTGCGATCATGGGGAAAACGTGATGATAATTGCTATTTTCTATGCTGTACTTCTGTTGAACATCCTAAATGCCCACCAATTTCAAATTATGTTCGGTAAGCTTTGAAGTACTTGTGTAAAGTCCAGCTTTTTTGTTTTTATTTTGAATGCTCCATATTTTTTAGGTTGGTATTTATCATGGACTGATATCACTTAGAGAAAAATTGGAAAACTGAAAGCACTGGGCATGTGTTTTGTCCTAGTATGGGACTCCTCAGCAGTGCGCACCCACGACCATCCCTCAGGAACTTCAGATTCCACGGCCAGCACGTTACCTTTGAGCTACTGGGTCGGGATCCAATGGTCCATATTCCCTTTTTCTGTCAGTTTACGATATAGCGCAACGTCCATCCAATGCCGTCGCTGAGTAACTGTTTTCACATTCGACTTGGTTGGTCTTTTAGTTGGGATTAAATACTTTATACTTCAATTACATGCAACTCACCAGTAAGATTGTTTTATTTGTTTCTATAGTTTTTAACATTTCTCCAACACAGTGTGCATCTATAAAAATAATTGTTATAGTTTTAAGCTGATAAGACTAATAGCTCATGCAACGTATTCGTTTGATTGTCATCATTTCACTGAGAACACAATTAGTGACCCAGAAAATCGTTTTCTTGCCGACCTATTTGTTAGTCTTGAGACGAATAGTAGATAAGTCGTAAATGCTATCGAATGCGTTGTCCAATAATTGCTAAATAGGCTGTAAAAAGCATGTTATTATGTATGGTTGATCAACATCTCAGATTTCTTGCATTTTAAAGTATCTAACTAATGTTATGCTCTTCTTCTTATTTATTTTTCTTAGCGCTCAACAAGTTATTAGTGCGTGTATATTTCGACCGATCGTCGGATGTCCGAATTTGTGCAATGTTGTTTGGTTCTTGTGTAACGACTTAAAGGTAGGGTATTATTTTGATAATGCAAAGATTACTCAAATACTATTATTTTCTAAGCAGACTATATACTACAGATGAATATTCTTTTAAAACAATTAGTTCGCTTTATAAACTTCGACAAAACAATAAGAAGACGTAAATTGTCTGAACCGTTCAATGTATTTGCGCAACACATTTTGAACTATCTGAACACACTCGTAGTTGTCGTAGTTATTCATATGAAAATTCATGAAGATAAGGGGTGAGAAAATGAAAAGAGGTCAAGTAGGAAGGCTGAATTAAACTCCGAATAATAATGGAAATCAATGGAGCAAAAATAATAGTACATCGAACTTGGTTTTCGTATTTGAATTTGCCATGGGAGATTTAATACGATAGCAAATTGAACTTCCTAATATCTAAGGCCTCAACAAATTGGAGGATCTGTCACCTCCAACACGTTTTGTAAATAGGTCTAAAGGAAGTAGCCACATCAATCCTGTGGCCTGTCTTAACGATACGTTTTGTGATCGAAGAACTTGGACGTCTTCAACCAATGTTTATGGGTTAAAGTGGTTGAATTTGCTTCTGAAACCATTTTAGAATATGTTCTGAGACCCTTGCTTACATGGATCTGAGTCCTCCCTATGTATGTGTCACCATACGTACATTTGAATAGGTAGATGTAATGGGATATGAAATTGTCGTTCACATGCCGTAAGGATTTGGAAGAATATACGGGTTGATGGTTTCTATTAATTGAACCCCGATGCATAAGAAGTCCTTCTAACAGCAGCGTTGAGTCTCTATTTAAGGATTGCCGTATGAGAGTCACCTTTGTACGGAAGACTGATAAAGACATCCCTGTTTGGGACACAATGAAGGTCTGGTTTTGGCGCTCTGATTATTTTGTGCTGCCTAATAAATTTTAATGTATAGTTATTTTTCAACAATATTTCAGTCAGTGTTCCTCTTTCGTCTTCCAAAGTATCCTCTGTGCATATTCGCTGAATTCTACTGAAAAAGCACCCAACTAACGCTCGCCTGTACTGAACTCGACAAAAGCTATTATGTTCATAGTTTTTGTCATGTTTCCCATTGTATGTTATTATCATATTTGGTTCCTTATGTCATTGATGACGCATTTAGTATTTCCGATTGCCGTAACTACACATCTTTGTAATTGAATCATGCTTAATATTTTTTCAAGTTATCGCTTCCTAGACAAATCCTGGATGGAAGATTGAATTCTCTACTCCCCGCAATGATGACTGATTTAATCGAGAGATCCAAATCACTGATGAACAGACCTATGGATGACTTTTTAATTGATCTTCAACAGCGATCAGCTATTGAGAAGGAAAAACATCGCTCTAAGCGCCATCACAGAAAGCACCATATTCAATCATATGCCATAGCAAAGTTAGATTCAGTGCAAGAAGGCGTTAGTCACTCGTCTGATGATGATGATTATGGTGAGGATTTAAACTCTGAAAATCGTCGACTAATCATTTAAACTGAGATAATGTCCTTTGTATAAAACCCATATACTTCATTTATTTTTATTCATTCAATGAATTCATTGATGTAATGACTGTCTGGCACTTCCAAATATTTGTACATTATGAACAATATAAATTATTATTACTATTGGCATTATTAATAGTATTGTTTTCTCGCGAACTAATATTTAACTAAGAGGTGAAAAACAGAACTGCTGATCTACTTTAATATTTTTTTAAATTGACTAACTGGTTTTCTATACATCCGGTTCTGTATAGTTCTTATTATAATTACTTTATATCATTATTTGTATATAAATACAAAACAGTATTTCATTCATTCTTACTGATGTATTATAACGGGTAATTTTTTAAAAATTATTTAACATATAGAGGTGATTTGTTTGTTAACCTTCTCATTGCTTATTCTCTTTTTAGAGTTTGGATCTTCAATTAATGTTTAGAATCGATGATCTGCATTTATTCACTAATATAATTCGACCTACTTTACATCTATCTGTCTAATAATATAGTTTGAAGTTTATATGAGTTTTGTTTTTACGGTTGTATTCAACACGTACTGACATCAGTTAGTGAACGATTACAAAGTTGGAAGCACTCTACAGCTATTTCGTTCTACTATGAGACTCGTCAGCAGTACACGCCCACCGCCTCTCGAAAAGTCGAATTCGGGATCAGATCTTGGAGCAAACGCGTCAGTCATTCCGCCACTGGATCGGATTTCAGTGGTTCACATTTTACTAAGCCTATCAATTCGGGATATTACGCGACTATTTACCAAGGTCCAGTCTATGATGAAACTACCTAGAAAATTAAATCCCAATAAACCTCAAAATGCATTACTTTACGATGCTCATCAGTGACATGCTTCGAGATGGATATCCTGAAGTTCTGATGAATACCTGTGACCTGTGGGATCAACCGGTTGGGAGTGAAATGGATGCCAGCTGAATACCTTGTTGAATAGTCGCTCTATGTCGTGAATTGATAGAATTGGGAAGCTGTGAACCATTGAACTCCGATCCAGTGACTGAACTGTTAATGCATTTCCCACGAGACATAAAGGTCCTGAGTTCGGCCCCTGGCAAGTCGTGGGTCCGTACTGCTGAGGAGTCCCATGCTAGAACGAAACGGTGGTCACAAGTTTTCAATGGTTCTGCAACTAATGTCGGCTCGCAATAAGTACTACCTTTAAAATCTGTCTACTAATGTTTGCAGTTGTTTGCTTGATGATAACCTACCTGAGTATTGAGCGTGAGTTTCTGAATGTCAGATCAATGTAAAGTTTTGTTTTACTATTTGGTCCATAACTTACGTGTCATTTAACTTATCAGAAAAGTTATTTGTAGTGTAGTAGGGTTTTGGACCATAACCAAGCAACTGTTGAAAGATACTGAGATCTCAAGAACTGCATTTGTCAGGCTATTTCGTTTCTTTCTTTTGAACAAAGGAATAAAAATGGAATTGAGCCGGAATCATGTGAGGTTTCAACAATCGAATTAGTATCATTGATCAGTCTGCTTAAGTGTTTAATCATCATCTTAGAGTTCTTTTAGCGATAGTCCACTAGGATATGCCAAATCAAGTTGAATACAGCATTTTTAACTTCAGGTAAAGTTGAAGACTGTATTACTTCAATAGATTAGGACTGCATCTAGATTGTGTTTAAATGAGGTGGAGGTGGAGCCCAGTCACATTTTTCTCACTGCTACATCAACTATGGAGTCACTTTTTTGTACCAAAAAGTTAAATTTAGACAGTATCCCTTTTTTCACGTCGTACTAACTCGAGTCAGTAGATGTATAAGCATAATGAAGGATTTAATGTATATGAGTCCTTGAAATCTGATATGGCTAATTTAAAGTGTTTCGTCTTGCGTAATAACTAAATTCGTCATCTTGGTCAAAGTAACGTACTTGTAATCAAATCTTAACCTGTCAACAAAGCAGAATCGGCAGCATTGAGTCTATACATAAAATGTAGGGTGTAAGACAGTTGTAAGAGTAGTAATTCAACCACAAATTGATAATTTGTTATGAATAACTTCGTATGATTTTGGCAAACAAAGATGCCCTGACAGGCATAACAATAACCACTAAACGCTACCAAGCCATTTATGTAAACGAGAACTAATTGTGAACTGTGGTCCCTCAGACTGTATATGCGATTTCTACACGAAGGAAACTGTTGAAACACCAATATAGATCCAAAGTAAGATGGCGTTACGTGAAGAGCCCTTTAAAAAAACTATTCATTTTTCCACTAAATACAAAACTAGGCTGTGAACCATGTATTTGTAACCGATTTAAAGAGACTTTTAAACTTAGTAGAATCTGAGCTAAAAGTATTCAGCTGTATGACAGACAAAAAGTAAAAGATACTAGTTAGATGGAGGCAATCGACAGGAAGTCCTTAACCTAGATTTCGTGCTTCTTGGCACTCGTCAGCAAGGTGCATCTGCAACCTTTGCGGGACTGATGTCCCACTGGAGCATTCAAACCAGCCTCACCCAGTGCTTCAGTCAGAAACGTTACCACAGCTATTCAGTCCGCGACCGACCTCCTGTTTGACTGAACTAGGCACACTGAGGTAGAAGTTGCAGATACGCCGTGCTGACGAATTCCAAAAGCGCGAACTCTAAGTCTAGGGCTTCCTGCCGGTTGCCTCCATCCAACTAGCATTTATCAAAGTGCATCACGGTGTTGAGTCAAATAGGGTGGTGGCCACATTTCAAAATGATCGATAGTTTTCGATCGGCACTTAGGACTAGATAACATGAAGTTAGTTGCTCTTCAGTAACCAGCCAATGTGAATAAAAGATGAGTTAAAATAGGCCGTTATTGCGTGAATTAAAATTAAAAGGTCTGGAATGAACATAAAGACTTGTTAATGTTCTATGGACTAAAACACGGCAGTAAACATTAATGCTCCGATGATGTTTCAACTATACAAGAAGTAGGTCGGTACTTCAGTATCCAGTGCATGTATCTTCAAGATATAGAGCTGGAAGTACGTAACATGTGATATGAATCTAAAGATCACCAAATTAAACTGGACAATATATCATCAAACAAGCTTCTGATTTGCAGTTAAAAATTTGGATGTTTTTTATAACTAATTGTGTGTAAAGATATAAGTTGTGTATTCTAGTACGGTTAAATACAGATTAATTTGTGTAGGGTAGAGGCGCAACTGGGTAGAAATAACAAACGATTTTTCTTATAGGAGCAAACATCGATCAAATCTTTACCTTACGACAGGTTCTGGAACAGTGGCATACCTACCGACATTCGCCATATTAATTGGCCTGAAGGCAGCATTTGACTCAATCGACCGTGAGGTCTTAGAGAAGTGTCTGACTGTATAAGGAGTACCGAGCGAGTACATATAATAACGAGAGGTCTCTACTCGAACTCACACAGTTTATCAAGGCTTATGGAGAGCTTCCGTGTGAATTGACGCCAACTAGTGGTGTTCACCAGGGGACCTCGATGTCACCGTCGTATTTAATTTCATCATTGAAACACTAATGAACATAACCTTAGGTACATCTGATTTCACAAGGAGGAACCTACTCCCTAGCGGTCATCTGATTGACTTGTCCTGCTAGGTGCTGACTCAATACAGGGTCTTTCAACGCGTTGAGTAGAAATCTGAATATGTTTGGTATAGGTCTCTCTGTCACCTGAGAAATATAAGACGATGCTGCAGGACTGGTCTGTTGCAAGTACTCCCAGTTTTAAAATAGTGAGTGAAATGTTGGAATGTATCGACCGCCTCACTTACCTGGAAAGTTGCATCAGATCGTACGGGGTGGTTACTGACGAAGTCTCACCTCGGATTTAGGAAGCTTGTTTAGAATTTCCAATTTGCGTCACCTGTAGCGCAGGTGAGGTATCCAACTAACTATCGAAGGTTGAGTATGCTGCAGTCAGTTCTCTCCTGTTATATGGCTGTGAGTTAATGACTGTGAGACTTGGTCGTTGAAAGAAGATATGAAGAGGTTACAGGGTTCTGTTTATAGGTATCTTCATAGCACTAGTTACGTTTGATAGAATCCCAGTGTGAGCAATGTTGAATTCAGGTGAAAGATACTAGGCAAATCGACTGATGAGGTTGACATGACTTGGACATGTGTTATGCATTCCAATCCACTGCCTACTTCGACGTCCCATGCTGAGGGAAGTTGGATTAAGTCGGAGGAGGGTTCTGCGTAGCCAGATAAAGGGGTGGCACCAGTTGATGTGGTTTCTAACTGTTTCGCAACCATTTTCAAATTCTTTCTGTTACCTACTTTGATATCACCTTTTCTATCCACTTGTCATTTGTGTACTACTGTGAAATGTGGCAACTTGAGCCGATGCACCTGTGTGCAAAGTTCTACGTTGATTTTGTCTTTCAGTCACACAGATTTGCTGAATAGGTTCATCTCGATGCTGCAGACTGCCTAGATTTTAGCGGGAATTACAATACATAGTTTTGTTTATCACAGGGACTTGAAGCAAAGAGAAACTGTTTGATACTGTCATAGTTTCATGTGACTACGTGACCAGTTTTGAGATCCCAGAATTTTCTATGACGTACAACAAGGAATTTACCACGTTAGGGGGTTGGAAGCAATTGGTTTCATGCTTGTTGGGAGTCGTCAGTAAGGTATATCTGCGACTTTGGGGGACTTAAATTTGTATCACCCAGTGCTGCAGTCAGAAACGTTACTAATGAGCCCCTCAGATCGCGATCGATAGATAAAGTTTTGGGCAAGACAACAGAAAATTGGTCCCTCTCCGACGTATAAATGTGAGAAATTTATCACATTATTATAATCGTGAAACTTAGGCACTGGTAGAATGCAGTTCTACATTACATTCGTTTATTTTATACCACCCACAATTATGCAGTATTATTTACTTGTTAGAGTTTCGAGCATAGGTCAATGCTCTTAATTTATATCCAAGTAATCGCATAAATTTCGACACCTTATTTTTATAGTTTTTCATCTCGTATTCTCTTTTTAGTGGTGGTAGAGTTTTCTACATCTTCGGTATACTTGTTGCATCATTTATATTGCATGCATTGGGAGTTAGTGTGAAAAAAACACTCATCTAAGAGCTTATGTCCTGAAACCCAACTTGATTGGCCGAACAGCTAATGACTTATTAGAAACTTGAGAAAATGTTGGTCGTCGAGTTGCTGCTTGCCGTCCACGAGAACTGATTGTCCTTGAATCGATTCTTCACTGTGCCATAAACATGCTCTACGTGTGAATCCTAAACTAGGATGAAACTACTCTTCAATGCTCCCAGGCTTCCGATATCCCAACTGATCAAATGCCTTGGTGATAAATGCCTTGATATCACTCCTTGTGCAAAAGTTATAACTGAATAATGGGTAAGATCAATGGCTAAATAAGATTGAGTTAAAATGTAATCTGAGGTCTTAAAACAACCCTCAGTAGACACTTAACTGAATGCTTAATGTCATCCATAAGCTTCAGTATTATTTTCGAAGTCTGTAAACGATAAGTAA